TACTCTGTATATTAAAAAATGTGAGAACATACCGTTCTGTCCTGGTTTATTATCTCATTTGTTCACAAAGGTATTGTTCCTGTGCCAATAAGCCCAGAATGTTGACCTTGAAATGTACATCCATCAACTGTTCTTTTGGTTGCACAGTCAGATTGTAATTTCGGCTTCCATCTGATGTCATGCATTTTCCTTAAGGAGAGAGGCATATATCCAGTTGCAGGAACAGTGTGAAGCTCGCAGTGTAAAACCCCTTCTAGAATTGTAACAAGTTGTTGTGCCATTCCAATGATGAATGTTATCTGTTTGCATTTGGAAAATAGATGGTAATCATGGCAAGTATCAGGCTCTATAAACAAAAGCGCTGGATCATTTGTCTCTTGCTGTTGCTCGGGCAGCTTTGTAAATTGGTGTTTTGGCAATTCTGTAATTTTCTGCCATTTAGAAATTGTGATAATTTTCTTCTTTAGTGCAAAGTAATATATGCTCATCGGATGCAGCTCATATTTCAGCAGACATTGCAATGTTATATGAGGTTGCAGGGGGTTGGGCTACATGACCCTTAAGGTCCCTTCCAACTCTACAATTCTATGACCTAGCATTGTCAAGGTATGGTATGTCAGCCCACTGCAGGAGACCAGCAAGAAATTCACTAGGTACCAGGGCTGTATTATAGGTGTAGCTCTGTTCCCCTGGGGCATGCTGTTTCCAATTTCCAAGGGAATACTGATGGGTTGCTAAGGGTAGCCAACCACCCCTGAAAGTCTCAACTGTTCCTCACCATCATCACACACATTTTTTTTTTTTTTAGGGATTGAAAAGGGCAGATGGGGGGGGGATGGATATCAGTTATTACAGCACTTCCGAGTACTCCGAACACAGCTGCATTGGCAGCAGATCCAAAAGGTTACATGTTACGCATAGTAACACATTGCAAAGACTTCTAAGTCAAGCTTTCCAAAGTCAAGTATCAGTACTAGAAGATTAGCACCCGACTACAGAAGTCAGCTTTAAAATGATAGCCATGTAATTGGGGCCTTCAGATGTTTGGCCATATATTTTTGTTCTCCTATTTCTGTTTGTTTGTTTGTTTTGTTTGTCAACTGGCTGGCTGGCTGTCTTGGTAGCGTTTAATGGCTGAGGAATGTGCTGGTGTTGAGAAGCATTCATCGACTTACCCTACATAAAGTAGGAGAAGTTCATTATGATAACTATATTGTATTCACCAACTGACATGCAGAAACATGTTGCCAGGTATGCGTGGGTTCAAATGTGTGTCATGCTTATGGGCCGCAGAACTAACATAGTGTACAGGCGGTGACCATTTTGGGTGCATGCAATTGACGTGCAACCGCAGACGTGTGGGTCGTTTTGAATCTGGAAGAGAGCAGAATGAGGATGGAATGGGGTCTGCAAATCAGGGGTTGCCTGTATTTTGTGAAATCTGGAGCCAATACATGTTGTCTAGATGGCTGCTCTCCTTCCAGTCTCTGAGACCGTAAGGGTGCACTTAAAGAAGTCAGTTTTGCACAGCCATGAAGTGTCTTTCAAGGTCCTTACCTGTGCCACTGTTTTGCTGCCCTTTCTGGTTCTGGGCCTCAGGTGCAGATGAAGGGAAGATTGGGGCAGTTAGAGCTTTTTCCCTCATCAGACTCTTCCTGTTTTTGTCTGTTAAAATGTGGACAAAAATCTGCCTGTCCAGGAGCTTCCTCTGCAAATTTCTTGTGCATCTGTTTCTGCAAATAAATAAATAAAAACCTGGTGCACTTCTGGTGCTTTATAAATAATAAATATTCACCCTGAATTATTTTCTTCCAGAATTCTCTCAGAGAGAGAGAGAGAGAGAGAGAGGATGCATTCACATCTTACAATGCCTGTGGGAGAGGAAAACGATCACTGCTTTACTTTCTTTTTTGCTTAAGCTTCCCAATCTTTCCCCTGTTCTGTGGCCTCTGTGATCTAAAAAAGTAACATGTTAAAGGGAAGAGCCAGCTCAGATCTGAGTTAAGACTCTTCGGAGACATATCTGTCTCACAACGAAATCAACACATGAATATTTACCATCTGCTGCCTCAAGCTAAGACATTCTGTGACAACTGTATACAGAAAGAGCTAATTTGTCATACATGTTGCTTTGCAGTATTAAAATCAGAATACGATTTTTGTTTCATTTTATACAAAAAATGCTGCATGCACATCTTAGTTGTATTTGGGTTGTATCTAAGCCCTATTCAGAGTAGACCCACTGAAATTAATAAACCCATTAGTCATGCTCATTAACTTTAGTAGGGCTACTCTGAGCAGGACTAGCACAGAATACCACCCATTGAGGTTTAATTCATCAGTCTAAAAAGCTTGTGCTTTGCACATTCTAGATACGAAAAGTGCAAATCAATCAATGAAAATTCACTCCAAGTTTGCATGCTACAATCATACCAAACCACTTTTCTAAGTGAAGAAGATGAGGCTTGCCATCACTTCTTGCACACCTTGGGGTTTATTGGATATTTATTAGGTGTTCCTTAATTAGACAATCAGTCATGATGACCAAGCTTCCCTGAAAATCAGTTGTGTTTTTTTTGCCATGACTGATCTTCCCCTGTAAATGAAGAACCACAGAGGAGTTTGGCTGTATAGGCTTTATTACATGGACGAAGTTTTAGTCCCAACAACCCTGCCTAGATTAGAGTGTGCCCTAGGCTGTACCTCAGAATGCTCAACCATGTTCAGGGGCTTATTGAAAGATAGGTCCATGTCGAGAGGGTTCTAAGCAGATGGGAGTCCTTTCCAAACTATAATGCTAGACAATTGTTCCACGAGGCATGAACCTGTTGCCCGCTTTCCACCATTGCAACCAAATAGGCTGGGAGGACTGATAAACAATTGAGCTTTAGGTTCAGCCTTTCACAATTTTTACAGATCCAGGTGCACTCTGAATGTTTTTAACTACTGCTTCTGTCAGCCCCAGCCAGCAGTGCCAATGGTCAGGGATGTTGTTAGCTGTTGTCCAAAACATCTGGAGAACACCAGGTTGGGAAGGCTGCTTAAAGGTAAAGGGACCC